AAATGGTTATACAATAAAGTCTAAGCTACTGTAAATGGAATTTACCATCCCGCAGATTGCTTTTATATAAAATGCTTTTTGCATTTTCTGATGTTTTATATGTAAAACACTTATCATTAATTCATTTCTATAATTAATATGTTGTATAACATCTATTCATCTTGAAAATGATGCTTATTTAAATCTCATGTTTAGCTTTATAAGTTAATGTATGTATTTGTTCCACTAAAGTTTAAAGGATCTATGTAAATAACTATGTTATATATAGTACTATTCTTACCTTCCTGTAGATATTTTCACAAATATTTGTCTAGAGCTTGTTTCTTGCTTACTGAAACTTAATGCATATAGGTTCGATAAGTAATATTCTTAAAAACGAACTTGTATTACAGACAGTACACTCTTTCATCCTATTGCTGACAAATCCCAGCTGATGGCAAGTTGAGCAAGCTTGAACCCTTATGTAAGACCAAGTGAAATGTTTGTATAAGGCTAAAACAAGTAATGTTTTCGTTTCCATGAGACTTACAGACAAACCAGATGTTTCATTTCTGTATTTTTCAAAACTTCACTTTATATATACTATAACATTTAAATTTATTAGTTTGCCAAAGCGTCAATTAAATTTTTCATAAATGAACATAGTTTATAACTGAAAAAACAATCAACAATCATAATTTTAAAAGCACTTTTAGTTATAAATCAAATGATTATACTTTCACATTTTATAAATCCAACACATTTATTGTTAATCAGTATAGAGTGTACTTCACAACAACAATGTAAAATCACAGACTTGACAAGCATACTGAAACCTTTATTAACAAAACTTAAAAATAAATACTATACTTTAAACATCATAGCTTTTAAAATACTGGATTAGCTTTCATACAAAGTTTCTACATTATGTCCATTTGTGTAACATTATATGAAAATAAACATGGAACTTATCATGAGACATCATACTAAGTCATGTTATTACATAAATAAATGAATAAAGGATTCAATGCAAACTAAACATGTAAGATTTCAGTTTGTAGGCTCAGAAAAACTTTTATTGACTATTTCAAAACATATAGGTTTTGAAACAATGTTTCGGTAACATGTCCTACATTATCTTTCACTTCACTTACACTATGTAGAAAGGTAATCAAATACATGTTAATTGTCAGTTAAAAGTCTTTGTTCTGTGACTTTCATAGATAAAACTCACATTTCATTATAGCTCAATATGTTTTACTTCTCTCACCACTTTGTACTCGTTATAGTTTTCATACTATAACTTTTAATACAGTATAAGTACCTTCACAAAATTTGGCAGACTTTTAGTAAACATTATCTGTTGCTTGCACACAAAAAATCATTTTTTTTAATGAAGTATTTTTACTAAAGATTTTTTACTAGTCCAAGTGCAAAGTGAATTTAAAATTAAGATTAAAAATACTTTTCTTTGTCTCAAAAATCTCAAATTTCATTTGTGTAACCTTTTAAACCTCCTAAATAAATATAACACTTTTTTTTCAGTAAAACTTCATATTTTATCTGTTATTACTTTTACCCTAACAATAGATTTGATTCTTCAGCCAGTAGACAAATCATCAAAGTATAATGAAAAGTTGTAAAATCAGAAATAAAATGAGCAGCTAGGCCCTTTTTTCTTTATTATTGTTCACGAGTTTCAAAGTACTTCTTTTGAGAGTTTGAACTGCTAAAGATTTCATATTTATTTCCTGTGTTTATTTTAATGTCAATTACTGAAGTAGAAATCTGCTGAAAATAATGTAACAAATCGCCACTTGTGTCATTACACTGTAATATGATAATCTCGGGAGCAATAAAGCACACACACACAAACATATAAGCTGACTTGACCCCTGCTCCGAGAGCATGATGTGGAATTTATCAGCTTATGTATCCTACAGTGTTCACAATGAAAATCCTCCAGAGTAATAAAATTGCACTTTGAATCTCTGAAAACGTTTCTTTTATGGTTCTGAGCCAATTCAATAAACATCACAAATGTTTGAGTATTGGTCATCCTTCTGGGATGTTTGGAATTTAGC